AWWWWAAWKKTWAAWWAATTWTTTTTTTTCGTAAGACTGTCTGTATTACAGTTACCTATATTAGGCAACTAAAAACAAATAATCTCATTGAAGGCWTTAAATACACTTTTATTTTTACACAGATACAAAAATGAAAAAAATCAGTACTTGGTATGTGTACAACACATTTCACCATTAATTATGTTTACACTTTTTACAAATAATACATCGTATAAGCCAGRAAAGGCCAATGATGGACTACAATTTATTTTGTGTTTTATATACTATTATACTATTGATAATTGATAATACTTTTTACTATACAACAACAGTTGTAATGGATTTCATGATTTTGCTCTTATTTTTGTAACTAATAGTTATAATTAATTAATTCATAGTTTAATTAGTTTGATATAATTTAAAAATATATATTTTTATTTTTATTTTGGCCTTTGTTGAACATAATGTTAAGTTTGAAATTAATGTAAGTAACTTAGAATGTTGGCCATTCCTGATTCATAAATCATGCGATCCTAATATAATATATACATAGGACAAGTATGTATACAAAATTCTTAATTCGATAAACAATTTCGTAATAGATAAAATTATAAAAAAATAAAAATGATATATGTACCTATTTCTTACAGTGTTGGAAACATTAATTGTTTAATATACAGCGATAGCAAAATCGCAATAGTAATAAGTTATTACTAATAACGGAAATCCTGCAGAATATGTCCACGCACTTTTAAWACGATTTAAGTCCAAAAATCGCTCTAAAATGTCGTGGTCAATTCACGCACAGCTTAAGAAAAATAAATTCTTATCGAAACTTAGTGCTCAAAACGTATAAGATTGCGCCTATACGACCCGTGAGTCACAACGAGTATAGRTACTTACTATTACTTACATCAAGCACTCTTGTCGTTGGATTCGAAAGCTTTTAATACGTCAATTAGGTAGGTAGGTACCCTACGTGAAATCGAAACGTCTTTTCTTGTTTCGGACTATTTTAATGGATCTGAAAAGTCAGTTATAAATGTATATACCTACTTTGTACCYAACTATTCATCGCAAACAGGAATAATGATATTTACATTTTTACGATAGTTATAATGACTAGATAATATTATGGTCGTCATTCTGATTTTTACGTATATTGTATTATTTTATTTATTTTTATTAGGTAGGTAGCTAGGTAGGACAGGTACATGTCTGTTATTAGTTTTGTTCAGATTTTTAGGATTTTAGAGATGTTTCGAGAGTAAATTCCGTGTTAACGAAACTATCAAATGTGGTCAAGTCTCAAGTACTTACTATAAGAAACTTTTTTGTCATTAGTTTACCTACTAATACGGAAATATTGTAATCATTGATACATTTCCATGAAAAATTAATAATTATGTATCTATACCTATTATAATTTTTTCCCGTTCTTAATTTTCTAWGATGTTAAACATTGAACTATTGGAATATAAATTGCCAACTGCCTACACTCAACTACTCTCAAGTCCTCTTAAAAGTCDTACCTAACTAACTATTTTGGTATGATTTTGACCTCTGAATATMAAATCTGAAATCATGTGATCAATAACCTTCACATAATAYACCTACCAACATGTTGCAGACTTGCATCAATAATCGTTKGTCTTAAGTTAATAATTCGTGGAAAAAACACTCTCATACCTACTCAACTTAGACTCACGACGTGTGTCTTTCGAGTGAAATTGCAGCGTTTTCGAATTGCTAAAGAAACAGAAACTTAGGGAAAAAAACCACAGCACGATAACCTTCGATTTTGTTAAGATTTGTATAYACAAAAATGTTAATTTTACGCTTAAACGGGTTTCGAAAATTACTACYCTGAACTTAATCGCCGCCAAAGTTTTTTTTWWAATTTTAAGAACTTCTATAAATCGTTGTTGACGACGGTTTCAACGTCATATAGGTTTTATGGTTGATTKTGATTTTGTGAAAACTTAGTTAGATTACCGACCCTAAAGTATGCAATGCCCTTCCGGTATTTCGCTTATTATGCATGTACAATATAGAGTACGACAATGGTCTCGCCACTGGCGGACGTGGTGGCCGCTGTAGTCAAGCGGTTCTAACGTACCGGCTGCATCCGGTCTTCGAGGAGTAGTGACGCTTGAGAAGGAACGCGGCTGTCCAAGCGSCGGCGGTGGCCACCAAAACGGATCCAAGCGCATAAAACATACATGGTGAGATGGGCGGCCAGTGTCCACCACGGCCGGGGGACGGCCGCCGCAGGAACAGGTCGACGGCCAGCTGGGCGGCGCCTTTGCCGAGAAGCGTGACGGAACAGGAATTGGAGAGCTGTTCGCGGCCTAGCGCGCGGACCGCGATTAACGGTTCGAGCCCGACGGCCGCGCCAGATGCCAACCCGTAAGCCACGATCAGGAACGCCGACCGTTGCGCGTCCACTGCTGACTGCAGTGGCCACTGGAACGGGTCAGCGTCCGAACTAGCGGTGGCGCCAATCAGCAGGACGGCGCCGCCGACGGCCACCACCGAGGCGTACAGGTAAATCGACGCCGAGCCGCCGGGTGACAGCATGTCTGAAGTTGTTGGCGCTAGAAATCGACCGGCCGCCTCGGCAGCGGCCAGCTGTAATGCGGCGGCACGTGCGGGCGCGACAGTAGCGTACGCCAAGTGGCTGATCGTGTRGACAGCTGATACGGCCAAAAACTCAACGACCGGCGTGCCACCGAACTGTGGGTGTCGCCATCTCAGCCACCGCCGCCAACGGGTGTTTTTCAGATGTTTGTCGTCTTCGTCGTCCTCGTCTTCATCGTCCGTTGAAGACGCCGCCGTGGTTTTGGATTTCAATAGCGGCGGCGATGGTGAAGGTGACGACACCACCGCGGCGTAGTACAGGTCCGTGGCCGCCCTGAAAGCGGTCGTCGTGACTGCTCTCGCATTGATCGACGTAGGCGACGTTGTCGACGTAATAGCGATCACCCTCGTGCAGGTCACCTCGTCCTGTTGAACTGCCCCGTCCGCATCATCAACCGCGGGTTTGTAGGTTATCGAGCACGCCAATGTGTTCAACATCATTCCGGACACGATCAGAATGCCACCTCTGCAGGAAAAAAACGATATACTAACGACATGCTATGGTGGCGGAAGTAAGTTAAACGTCATCGTTTTGTGTTACGATTGGTAAGATTAAAAAATCCAAACGAATCATAATAACGTATTTCATCGAGTGTCGAAAAACAGAAGAYAAAGGGGAGTAAAAATAAAATTCGATTAATTATTTATTTTTTGAATWAGATCAAAACTCATAAAGGTATACGTCATATACTATCTGCAGATACAAATCAAAACCACTTCAAAGTGCAAACATTTCGAATTATCGAAACYCTACTAGTCAATACAATAGTGATTCAATATGATTGGCTGTAGGCAGATCACAGAAATTCATGCACAGCAGGTACCGATCTTATGGTGTTATTTATTTGGTATCGGTTTACGACTTAACGAGTGCTGGTAGTTTTTTCCATGGTCTATCCAACATTATATTTCCTATTCGAATTGATATGTGTTTAAAAACTTAAAAAAAGCACCAAAAATATTGAAAATAAGACTATTACGACCAGACATCCAACCTAATGTAGTTTTATTTTATTTATAGAATCTAATTTACCTAGACATGCCTAATATACTTAATTTTAGTTTTTTCATTTATAAAATATAAATGAACATCATAGTAGAATATTATATACCTGTAGCCGTATGAAAAGGTTAAGAACTCGAGGTACGGTGGCATGGCGAGTGCGCCGACCGCGGTGCCTGCAAGCGAAAACCCGTTGGCCAGTCCTCGGTGCTTGTCAAAATATTCGTTAACAATCAGTATTCCAGCAGAGTAACACAAGCCTGCACCAAATCCCACCATCACACCGTAGCTGCGAAAAATCGGGAAAATGGTCATCGGTCATCATGCACATACAAAATATATTGATCATAGATTAAAATATAACATTAAACATAGGTAACGCTAATGCTTATCGTTATCGCTCATTTTTTGGATCTYATAATAATTTGGACTTGACTCACAGGTGACAACTTACTGACAGGAATTGTTGACTACAGACATACAGGGTGCTTTACCCAAAGAGATCTGACATTTTGACAAATGAAATAACTTTTGTTCTAATCAATATTTTTTTTAAATTTCTTTTAAATATAATCCATATAAACTTGCGCTACATTTTTAGAATACATTTTCAGTATTTTTTTTGTAAGCGTACAAATATTTATCGGTAAAATAGATAAATCACGACACCGTTATTGCAGGTATACCTTTAGTATGTTTAGTCTCAGTTTTTTTGGCCAATTCATTAAAACACTGTCTATTTGGCTCCGCCAGGGAAAAAGTGTGTTTAACATATAGGAAAGTTTTATATAATGTTTAGAAACCTAAAAATAATAAAAAATATGTTGACTTTTGAATAAATTATAAACTTTAAATAAATACATATTCAGTGTTTCTTGTCAATATTTAGAGCCGTCATTTATAAAGTAATTATAGACAACTAGGCACAATGAATTTTTCTGTGTTTCTATTTCAAATACACACAAATATATGCTACTAAATAATATCAAAGTCTCGATATCATCCGGTCAACTATTGCGGTTTCAAAATCGTCTACACAATTAATATAATTTACTATCAAAATAAATTTAAAAAATCGCACATTTTAATGACCGGTTTTAACTATTATAATATGTTTTTTAATTATATTATATATATTTGTATTGAAGAATTTAAGATTTTGTACCCACAATAATTACATTGTTGAAATCATCAAATGATTAGTATATAGATTATAATTTATAWGTATATACTATTTGTGCAGTTCGTATAGTCATTTATACTTGAGTATTTTGTAAAAATTTAAACTAAATTAAAACAGAAGATCAATTTACATAATCTATAATAAAAAATAGAAAATCGTAAATAAAAATAAATAAATTATCTGACAKGTACATTTTACTGAATTTAGCCCCCCCCTCAATGTGCCTCATCAAGATTCATTGGACATTTCCTCCTCAATCAAGAACATTTTTCCCTGGACAAAAAATCAAACAATATAATATACAATGCGAATTAATAAATGTACAAATYGTTAAATTAATGCATAAATATAATTCGAGTTTGAATAAAATAATTCATAATAATACTAATACTAATACAAAAGTCAAAACTCACTAGTATAAATATTAAAAATACAAAATTAAATAATAAAAATCAAAAATACTTGACTAATATTTTTAATTATTGGAAGATATTCTCACAGAACTTAATTTTTTTCATTTGAAAAACTTTCATACAACTTTTTTAACATATTATCATCAGTAGGTACCCAAGTTATTATTGAAAGCTCCTGTCCTATAATTAAAAATTTGTAGAGATGTGCACTTGAGTTGCCATCTGGCGTATAGCTTCAATAAAAAGYCGCATATATTGTGAATGATTTATATTTCCACCGTTCCAAAATATTGTTTGTTCTACATATACCAGTTTTCGTTATATAAAATAATAAAATACAAATTGATTCAGGGGAAAACGTCCAAATACACTTGTTATTAAAAATTACTATAAACATTATAAATAATACTATTAAATAAAGCAAAACAGTTGACATAATCACATAAYKATATTATACATTGATTTAATGACCTAGCTAGACCAGGCAACATTCTAATGTGTATAATTTTACTACATTGCCCGTCAAAATGGAACAGTTGTGCAGTAGATACCTACCCATAATGTTCGAGCAGTGTACTGCACATTGCCCATAACATATATCATACGTATCTCCTACGGTTAAATAAAATAAATTCCTCCCCATTACACATACCTTATGTACAGATGCGATATGGAGTTAGCGAACGAACAGAACATCATACCAGCGGAAGCTAAAAGTCCGCCACAGAACGTTACCGCTTGGTGCGAAATCATTTTGCACAGTAGACAGGACAGCGACCCTGAAATCACCGAAAAATGTCCATTGTAAATTATTATCATTATTATTATATTAAAATTTATAAGCAGATGAATCGCACTGAAAACAAATACAAACACATTATAATATAGCTATATATATACATATATACTTGATGCATCAAGATAACTATAGGTGGGGAGGACATAGCCTCGTTTCATCCTTTTATATACGTTTTAAGCAAGGTTTTAACCTTCCCTATACGTTTTTGCTTTTTAGCACTTATTGCCAGTTAAATCCATATCAATTTATCGAACAAAATGTTAAATTTGTAAAATATTTAATAATGATATTACCTATATGTATGAGGCCACAATCGCGACGATTTGATACAGGATTTTACTTTTATCTCATGTAACCAATAGTAGTCATTTATTTAGATACAAAAAACAAATAAATAAATACTAATTTCGATTTCTTTCGTCAACCTCGGGTGAGAACATTTTTAAACTGCGAAAAAAACCAKTTTTTTAGTACACTTTAATGTGGTGGTACAAAGGTGTAAATATAATATCTCTAGCTATCATATAGTTTATGCTCTATGTTGATCAGTCAGTCAGGACACGTTAAATTATATAACAGGTATAATATTATATAGGTTGTTCCATTTATGTATCTTGTAAGAGGAATCAAAACACACATCAAGTCAACTATATATGATCCAAAACAGATATACAACGATCTGCAGGTTATAATAAATATATAAAAAGATAGTTATATGATAATGATATTTTATTAACTTTTTGATCTATTGCTATTAGTAATTATTTTGATAAACGAGGTGAGAGGTGCTTTTACTCTGTGGTTTGTTTTCAACTTTTACATAACAGCAGGATTCCCTAGTACCTATTAATACATTAAACTTTATAGTCTACAATGAAATTCGTGAATAAAATGGGGGCCTATWATATGTAGGAAATTAGCATATTATGGGTTATTTTGGACTTTGATTTTCCAGGGCTCTTTAGCCACTGTATACGTAACTTTTAAATCCTATAGTTACGCCTATGACTATAATATATTTTGATGCACGTAATAATATCGTATGTAAAGCGAGTCTAACACATTTTGGTGTACTATAGTAGAAGGTGATTCTAAAATTAAAAAGTTCTAAATATAATATTGTACATTAAAAAAATATATATATATGGGTGCAAACGATCGTTTGTAATAGTCTGCAGGATAAAAAAGGATCCGCTTAAAATAGTTTTGGGGCGAGGGTGTCAKAGTTACCGGTATATTAGAAGAAATATGGTTGGAGTTTATCRACCACGTGATGTAAAAATGAATTTATTTATAGTCAGTAGTGAGTGTATGTGTTTGGTAATATTTTATATAATTGAATACCGTTGCTAATGGAAGCGCGGGGCAAGGGAGGTTGCTGCGCAATCATACTATATCTTTAAATTATTATATTCCATTCGAATGGAGGAATTTCGACTAGGGAATGTGACAGAGACTTGTTTTTAGCAATAAAACATTTTAATGAAATTTAAATTTATATACTTGATACATATACATATTTATTATACAGGATTTTTATAACAGTAAGCACTGATTATCACAAAAATACTTAAGAATGTTAGTGCATTGTTTGTTTTATTTCTCCAACCCACTAACACAATATTGTTTAGCAAAATTGACCTTGTATTTGTAGCTCAAATATTATAGAGTGGATTGACCTATTATCCAACATAAAGCTTATAAAATTATCTATGTGTTTGTACGGTGGTTTTTTAACTATACATTTCATTTTTTTCCACGCTGCAAGTTATAAGTATTTAAAAATACTATACAAAAATACAGATAACGTTTGAAACATTAAATTTGATAATCAAGGTCAKMTTTAACAACACCAGTCTGGTTTTACTAACAAAAATGTGGTATATGTGTACTATAGTATCAGAATGGTWGAGTGAGAGAGAGATTAGTATATAGATAACAAATAATGCACTGACATGATGCTCTTAACAATGGCTAAATACCTAATATTTAATAGTTATTTAACGATGCTCTTAACGTATTGTAAATATTTTTTTTAAAATAGTTTTAATGTTTTAATCGATTACAACATTATACARATAATTATACAAAGAATTTTAATGTATATTAATTAGACATTGAAAGACTGATTRATTAATAAATAAGTGTGTATTTAAAGTTTAATTGAGCAGAATAGTGTACACCAAACATTTTGTARGATATCCGTACTTTGTTATATTCCGTTCGTATAGTATTCAAACACTATTTTACCAAAGTCACAGTTTCTAAATAGTTATTTTCGTTCGAAATTTGATTTCTATGTACAATAACTATCTGAAATAGCTAGTTTATTAATTGATTTATTCAATTCCAAAAACTTCAATTCACTATCAAGATAAATAGTGTTAACCGATAAAAAAAATCACTCCTTATAGTAAAATACATTAACACCTATATAATAATAACAATGTATACGTTTACGATAGAATATCATGTTTTATAATGTAATAACCATTAACTATAATACATTTAAAATAATATTTCGTAAAACAGAATAACTGATAACCTTAACAAATAAATAATATATTATATTGGTATATTTTTTTTCTACAAATACCGGCATGACAAAACAAATGTTTGTAGTGCATATTGATTAAATATTTTTGGATAACTGTTATGTATATTATATAATATTACGCTTATCAATTATTATGTCTGTAAAAAATATACTATCATAAGTTTAAATATCGCATTATCGGAGTAAAATATGTTTTAAAATATAGATTACGTGTGTCCGAATGTCCGATGTCCTCACAATAATATCGTGTGCAAAGCCTGCAGACACGTTTTTTCAGATGTCGTTTTAGGAAARAAATATATGCGGTCAAAATCCGTGACCAGATTCGAGAAAAAAAATAGATGGTTTTTTTGCTGAGGGGTCGAAATCACGTCCGAAGGCACGACTGGTGTCTGCAGTCGTCAAAAAACCAAACACGTGTTGACGTGTACGATTCTTACGCAGTAGCTTTGTATGTACTCGTACGTTTAGTTATAATATTATAAGGTCTCTTCTTAATAATATTTCCTGGACGGAACATTCGATCGGCATGCTATACAATATCGACTGCTGCATCGTCGGTTTCCGGGTCGATTGTTTCGTCGTACAATAATTAATAAAAAAGTCGTGACGGTTTGTGCGGTCGGGGGCAGGAGCGGCGACTACATTTGGATTTTCTGGCACGCGTCATAAATCACAAGTGTTTAGCGCGTGCACACACACACGACACACACACACTGAGCATAGATATTAGATACTCGACGGCGCCAAAAYGTTAGATATAGTATCAATCAATGTATCATGCGTACATAATGGRAAAAAAATCCTGACGTTTGCGATGGAAATGTGCGCCGGGCAAYACGTGACTCACTATATTATAGTCACTAACTAGTAACTATAGATAGGTATGATTTACCGATTCAGTATTATTAATTYATACTAATTTATTATACTAGTATTATACATATATAGATACCGCGAGTGCAGTATTGCGGACTTGATATTATTTGSTGTGGGTAAATAGGYAAATTATRTACATATAGATATAGGAACGATTACCCAAACTATATGGGCGTACAATGTATTATTATATCGCAACGGTCCGAAAGTGTGATGACCATAAATTATAGACGCAGCCACGCGGGTGTTGATAAATTGGCATGCACATTTCCTCATACCCCGCCTATAAAGGTTGCCAAAGTCACTAAACATTGTTATAAAGATACAGTGCAGAATATGTAATAATTGTAATAGCAACGAGACCTAAAGTGCATATTATAATGTTATCTTTTTCTAAACATGTTGTTATCTTATTGTTGTTGAACTTCTTCCTCTCTTCTGACAATTTATTTMCCGCGGCATATATTTATGATCTTAAATAAATGTGTACGCTATCTATTCTTTTTCTAGTGATATTGGTTCCCGCCGTTCCCGGACTTCTCTCGCTAGCTGCTGTTATCAGTCCATTCCTTTATAGGTCTGTGGCGATAACACACCGCCACATTAACAATATACGAAATATTATTGTTCTATATGCGTTGTGCGTATTATTATAGGCGTATAGCGAAACAAATAACATAATATAGTATTAACAATAATATTATAACAA